ACAGAATCAGCTAGAGTGATAGAGCAAGGGTGCATGCACCCATGCATGCATTATATATGCATACACTGAGCACACGCACACACACACACACACAGAAAAGGAAAAGCATAATGGTTGTGAGGAAAAGCATCTGTAATCCTCTGTTTTAGTAATTATGGTACTTGTGGGGAACCCAGAGCCTGTGTGTGTGCTAGACAAGTGGTCTGCCACAGTGCTACATTCTTTAGCCTTCACAATTGACCAGGCTGGCCTCAAATTTGTGATCATGTACCTTGTCTGGCCAATAGCTAGGGCTACAGGCTTGTAACATTGGACCCCACATTCTCTTCCTTTTAATGGCATTTTTAGTTTCTAGGATCTTTTAGGGTTTTTTGTTTTGTTTTATTTTGTGTTTCTTTTTTCAGTTGTCTCTGATGCCCCTTATACAAAGATAATTGTTCTGTTAACTGAATACCACTCTGTAATTGCAAAAAAAACTTTGCAGTGCCACTGAACGACCCTCCAAGTACTTGTTTTTAATTATGTGTAGGTCTGAGTGTCTGTGCACATAAGTGCAGGTGCCCAAAGGAGGCCAGAAGAGGCTATCAGGTTCCTTGCTTCTGAAGTTACAGATGGTGGTAAGCCTCCCCATCCGGGTGTTGGGAATTGAACCTGAGTCATCGGCAAAAGCAATATATGTCCTTATTTTTTTTTTAAATAAAAAATATATTTACTTAGAAGCATTCAGAATGTCAGCAAAACAGCTGCAATTTTTTTTCAATTACAGAGTGGTATTTAGTTAACAGAACAATTATCTTCGTATAAATTGCATCAGAGACAATTGAAGATGACAAAAAGAAACCCAAAACAAAACAAAAAAAAAACCCAAAAAACTATCATCCCCATATATAACTAATTTGGCTGTGCACCAGCAAGAACCTGCTTTAAATTCCCATGCCAATTTACAGGCCCCAGACTGTACCAGGCATGGTCAGTGGCTATTGAAAATACCATCAGGACAGGCTATCTAAAGATACATTCGGTAGTGTACTAACTATACAAAAAAAGACACTGTACAGTTTAAAAACAAATCTTACACAGTCTTGTATTTCCATTTTGGTTTTCTTTTTCTAAAAGGAGTGAGTTGTTTGCAGGAAGGTAAAATGCTTTCTAGACAAAAAAAAAAAAAAAAGAAACTTTGATAGAACCAACTTATCTATCATCATCACCATCATCATCATCTTCATCTCTGTGGAGCTCAGTGTACTGCAATGGCTGTCACAATACATGTTCTTACTGCTGAGCCATCTCTCCAGCCCCTACAGGGTCTCATTGTCAATCACTAAGGCTATATACTATTTCATCTGTTAGTGTGAGCCGGGCACTTGGGAAACAGAGAGGCAGGCAGATCTCTTCTGAGTTTGAGGCCAGTCTGATCTACGTAGTCCAGGATAGCCAGGCCTATGTAGAGACCCTGTCTCAAAAAAAAAAAAAGTCTGTTAGTGTAATCATACATTTGACAGGGTATTTAGCATATTCTAGTATTTTCTTTGAATGTTGGGTAAATTTGCTCACAGACCTGCCCCTTAAAGTGGCTTTATCCTTAAAGATATGAGTGGTAATTTATGTGCAATAGAATGTACTCCTTTAAGTACATACTTTAAGGGTTAAAAATGTATCTCCCATGTAACCACCCATATTGAAGACATAGGATCTTTCTGTCCTCAGGGCTCCCTGGGGCCTTTTCACATAGTGCTCCCCCAGTGAACAGCCCCAGGAAACCACAACTGTGCTTCTTATCCTTGTAGGTTATTTGCCTTTCTAGAAGTTTAGATATTTGAAGCTACTGAGTGTAACTTTAAATTTGAATGCTTAGTCTTCTGACCCTCTGTCTATCATGTCCCTTTCTCTTAAACACACAGTGCAGAGCATGAGTACAAGAAAGGAGCCATTTGTTACTTTTGTGTCCTGTTAGTTTTCTGTTCATTTGTTTGATATTTTAACCCATTTACAGATAAAGGCATTATTTTTATTAATGGAATTTGGAGAATACACAAATGCAAAGTCAAACATCCCCCCATCAACAAACAAATAGGAAAAAAAACCCTCATTTTTTGATATCTGGGCTTTGCCAGGTTTGAAGTCATAACAGAGGTAGGGGTGTTTGGGGAGATGTTATAGAGTCTGTCCTACAGATGCCTGCCTGCCTCTCTGTCTGTTTGTCTCTCTTTCTCCCCCCCCCCCCCCCCCCCCCCCCCCCCCCCCCTCTCTCTCTCTCTCTCTCTCTCTCTCTCTCTCTCTGTGTGTGTGTGTGTGTGTGTGTGTGTGTGTGTGTATTTTTTGTTTAAGACAGGGTCTCGGTGTATAGCCTTGGATGGGCTGGAATTCACTTGATAGACCAGGCTGACCTCCAACTCTCAGCTTGGCCTGCCTCTGCTTCCCGAGTGCTAGGATTAAAGGCATGTGCTACCACTCCTGGGTCTACAACTTTTAAACTAGCTGTAATTCACAGATCTGAGTACCCAAATGTGAGAGTCTGCCTGAAGCAGGAGGCACTGCATGTACCGTTCACAGACATATAGTTGTGACCTCATAGCCTTTGGGGCAAGCCGTGTGTTCATGTGACATCCCTGAACTGACAGGTCACTGGACATGTTTGGAATTTCCATCAACAGGTCATATATGTGACATGTGATGGGCCACCTATAAAGCAAAATTTCAGAATGAATCTCTCACATAATACTGAATGAAAAAGACATGTATACAACTTGATTAATTTTGTTTTTGTTTTCTCATTTATTTATTCAGGGCACATGCCATGATATTTCTGTGGAAGTCAGAGGTCAGCTTGAGGAAGTCATTCCTCTCCTACCATATGGATCCTGGGGCTTGATCTCAGGGCATCAGGCTTGATTGGATTAGCGCTCTGTCCTCTTGCTAGCCCACAACTTGATATTTCTGTAGTTTTTTGTTACTACAAACAAGCTTTGGAAAGTTTTTATTAAAAAAAAACCCTTTCTAGTCTACTTTCCCCTGGTCTGTTCTGGGCTCTAATAGTACAGGACCACCTGGGCCAACAGTTGCCAATGCGCATGCTCCATAGTATTTTCAGCATGGTGTTCCTGGTTCAATATTATTGCTGCTGTAGAGAGGGTCATCAGCTTTGGCCAACACAGCATGATATTCTATTCCAGATGTTCTCAAAGCGGGCCATTGTTAGCAAGGACTGCCAGTGTCACTTTCCTTGGTCATCTTCAGAGCCTGCTGTACCCCAGCGTGTGCTTTCTCCTGTACAGAACAAGGTGGAGCCTGGCACTGATCATCTTTGAGACTTTCATCTTTGCTTCCACCATATTCCTGTTTAGGTTGGGGATGGCCCCAGCCAAAAACAACTCCATGATACTTCTAACTTTCCAAACAATGTAACTACTGTCTGGATACATGTGTCGGTTGTAGTGTAAATAGATGAGTGGGGGGTGCTGGAGAGATGGCTCAGCGGTTAAGAGCACTGGCTGCTCTTCCAGAGGTCCTGAGTTCAATTCCCAGCAACCACATGGTGGCTCACAACCATCCGTCATAAGATCTGGTGCCCTCTTCTGGTGTGCAGATATACATGGAAGCAGAATGTTGTATACAAATAAACAAATAAAAGAGATGAGTGGGATAGGTGTGCTCAAATACTAGTTACTTAGGAGGCTGTGGTGGAGAGGCTGGACTGTGAAGAAGCTGACAGATGGGGCTTTGATAGTGACCATTCAGTTCATTATTTCTTCTTCTTCATCCTCCTCCTCCTCATCTTCTTCTTCCTCCTCCTCTTCCTCCTCCTCTTTCTCCTCTTCCTCCCCCACTTCCTCCTCCTCCTCTGTCTCTCTCTCTGTTTCTCTGTCTCTCTCTGTCTCTGTCTCTCTATCCCTGAAGACAAGTTTCTCTGTGTAGCACTGCCTGTCCTAGAACTCAATCTGTAGACGGAGGTTGGCCTCCAACTCGGAGATCTGCCTGCCTCTGCCTTCTGAGCACTGGAATTAAAGGTGTGCACCACCACTGCTTGGTGTCTTTTCTTATCTAAAAGATTTATTTATTTACTTACTTATTTATCCATTTATTTATTTTTTTATGGCATTAAGACTTAAATGCCAAAATGCTCATGAACACTAAACAAGGAAGCTATCTACCACTGACTTATATCTCCATCTCAATTTTTTTGTTTGTTTTGAGACAGAATCTCAAAGAATATCCCAGGCTAGCCTGTAATTCATAGCAGTCCTCCTGCCTCAGCACCCCCACACACTGCTAGAATTGCAAGGGTGAGCCACCATTCCTGACACTGACAGTTTGAAGACGGGTACGCAGGTGTTTATTATTTTATTATATAGCCGTAGGAAGGAGAAGAACATAATATTGTGGTGTTTGAAACAACTGTTCTAGACCAGAAGTCTCAAATTCTCTGTACAGGACTGGAGGTGGAGGCTCTTGGGACTGCACTGTCTGTGGGAGTCTCTGAGGAAGACCCCATTCCTCTGCATTGTGGCACCGAGAGCACAGAGAGCAACTATGCCTCAGCTGACTTCCCATGTCACTTGGTTACAAAAGCCGGCAGGAGGGCTGCAGGTTGTGGTTTGCTGACCTCTCTGGATTAGAATTAAGCTCCTTCCCATCCTCCTACCCATCCTTATGTCTCCATCTGTAGTCTCCATCACATCCTTGAGAGCCTTGGGAAGCTGGGAGGCATCATATTCCACGGAGGACCTAGTTTTGGTCCAGTTTCATTTCCTGGAATTCCAGCTCCTATCTTTATAGCGATCAACAAACTACACTGTGACTACTCAAATCAGCTGCATTTTCTTTGCTTAAGTTTACAAACTTAAATTTATAGACTCTAAGTCTGTGATGTTGGAATTGTTTTGTCAGGGGTGTTGGGAGTTTGGCAACATATTTTTGAAGATCATAGATATGCGTTTCTAGGTGATGAGTGTGTATAGAAGGTTCTGGAAACAAAGCTGAAGGCATGAACTTTGTTCCAGGATGACTATATGGAAGCACTGGCCAGACTGCACCTCACAGTGACCAGGGCCTACAAAGTAAATACTGACATTAATTTCGAGGTGTTCATTCATAAAGTGGATGGTCTGTCAGATGATCACAAAATTGAAACCCAAAGAGACATTCACCAGAGAGCAAACGATGACCTTGCAGATGCTGGATTAGAAAAAATTCACCTGAGGTAAGAGCCAATACCCCTTAGAGTCAGGGTCCTGAGAAAGGCTGGAGCAAGTAGGTTTGGGTTTCGGTCACCACGGCTGTCGGGGTGTGGGCTGGGTGGGTATGGACAGCATGGATGCCAGGGTACTCGTTAACCTGTTTTGTGCTGGGATAGGATCACAGATATTTTACACTTGTTAAATGCTAACCTGTGGTGAAAGTAGTGTTGTGTTTTACTTTTGTATTCAACAAGTTGTCAAAGCTAAACTTACTTGAAAAACACAGCAAAATTCATGGCTCTAACCAGGATGCTAACTGGTAGTCAATAGTAGCACTGCTAATAGGATGGTATTTATAACCTCAAACATATGAGGCTTAAAATCATTAGGATAGGAATTCAGAGGACAACGTCTCCCATCTATTTTGTGGGGTGGGATCGTGCATAATCATTGACTTTGCAAATTGGAAGTTAAAAATAAATGGCATGCTTCAGTATTAATAATGTAAAAGTTACTAATTTGACAGGAGGCTGTGTAGAGATGAGTGCAGCGTGTCTTGTGGAATGTAAGGATGCTCACATGGACAAGGATGACCAAACCCCAGCGCTTGCCAGACAACGCAGACTGGGCGTGGCTTTGGCACTAGGGAGGGATGGAGGCTGCCTGTTAGGACACACTTGTTTGTGACCAAGGTCATTATGAATTCTGAAGGGGGCTGGTGCTTGTGTGTTCAGATTGCACATAAGATTACTAGCACTAGTGACAGAGCCCAAGACACCTGCTCAGTTACAGGGAGCGTGGTGAAAACTGCCTTCTCTTTCAGCTTTTATCTGACAAGCATCTATGACCATTCGATATTTGAAGCCTTCAGTAAATTGGTGCAGAAACTGATCCCACAGCTCCCGACGCTGGAGAATCTGCTGAATATCTTTATCTCAGTAAGTACGTGGTTTGCTCCTGCTCAAGTCACTTGTGGAATTCAGAGTAGCATGGCACAAGTGACAAACGTCATAGCTGCCTGTGTTTCAGGGCCACTTTAGCATCAATTGCTCTTGAAGATTACTCCCACATTTTCTTTTAGAGCCTTTACATTTTAGCTCCAGTATTAATGTTTCCCTCGTGCACTCAGATTGCATATTCAAGCAGGTGGGTATTCATCGGTATTAACAGACCTTGGATATGGAGCAGAAAGCCTTGTTTGGGGGCCAGCAAATTAGTACAGCAAAGGTCACCCATTGCCAAGCCTCACCACTGGAGTACAGTCCAGACCACACAGTACAAGGAGAGAACCAGTTCCTCACCAAAAGTTGTCCTCTGACCTCCACATCTGTGCTGTTGCAAGTCCTAACCATCCCAGAAATACAAAATATATATAAATAAATGCAAGAAAACTTCTTTAAACCCTCTTGGTTCTGTCTGTATTTGAATATTCACTTGTGAGTGATGAGCCTGAGTCCTACAAATGGGCAGGTCAAGAGTTAGGAAACATTGCCCGAGTGCTTTACCAAAGATAAATAACTTAGGCTAGTTGTTTTCATTGACTGTAGAAATTAGAAGGCTTCACTGTGACAGCTCCACAGAGGAAAAAGTGTGTTTCTGTGCATCTCCCCCCCCCCCCCCTGCTGCTGTTCCTTCCCCTCGATGTCACCCTTCTCTACTTAGTGAAGTGGAATATGATTTTTTATGTAACTGTGAAGTGGTCTGAACTTGCTGTTCCTTTAAGGCGTGTCTTTCCCCCCTCTCAGAATTCTGGAATTGAAAAGGCATTTCTGTTTGATGTGGTCAGTAAGATTTATATTGCAACCGACAGTACTCCAGTGGACATGCAGACTTACGAGCTCTGCTGTGATATGATAGATGTGGTGATTGACATCTCCTGTATTTATGGGTAAGCAAAACACTCTCTTTTATTGTCATTGAAGCAAGTTTTTTTTTTTTCAGACAACATATTCTGATTATGCTTTCCCATCCCTAAATAAAACATGCTTAAAGACCGTATTGTTCTGTCTTTCCCAGGGCTGGAGGTGTGGCTTAGTTTTGAAACAAGTCCTGAGAACCTCACTCCAGAAAGAGGGAGGACGGGCAGGGGGAGAGGAGGGAGGATCACCCAACTGCCTTCCTTTTCATAGCTTCTGGGCCTTTTTGTATTTATTCACTTGACTTTTGTACTTCTGCTTTAAGTGACTGGGATCTATAAATAGACCATTTAAAATGCTAGTAATAACAGGTAATTGTTGAGCAGATGCTTATTATTATTATTATTATGATGATGATGATGATGATGATGATGATGACTTTGTTGCACAGATCATCTAATTTAGTTTAGTTGTTCCATGAAGCCGAAGTTACCATACTTGTTTTACAGATGCAGCAATGGACTTTAGAAAGGTGAAATTTCTAGCAGCTGCTCATTCTGTCAGCAAGAAAAGACTAGACTTTGAACCCTGGTCTAAATGAGTATGATCTGATGCTGAAAACCTGCACACACAGTGCACCCCATGGGGTAAAAATAGATCCACAAGCCATTAAGAACATTTCCATTGTCCTGTTTGTTACAGAAAATACCTGCTCAGTGTTTTTTTAAAATTTGGTTTTGATTGTCTAGGTAGCAGAGAAGTATAATACTAGGCAAATAACATCTGCTAGTTTTTATTTTGACCTTAACATTCATAGAAACCAAAACTTCTATATATGCTTAAAATAGTATTAGGGAGCAGAGAAAGTTGTATTACCAGAGATAGAAACAAATCTAGATGCTTGGAGATCTGCTGAGAAGTCTACGTTGGATGGAGTGTGAGCAAGCTATTACCCACTGTTGTCAGCAGGTGGCTAGCTGTTCTCTCAGACCTTGTATTTTACTGCTCTTCTCCCTGCCTCTCACCACCTGCCTGCTCTGTCAGCTTCCAGAAGTTTCAAGCTTGGCTGCTTCTGTTTTCCACCATCTGGAAATTCTTTGCCCATCCAGTGAGATTTTCTGTTTACTCTGTTGCATATACATCCATGCATGTGCAAACTTGTGTGATCACATAACATACTTACCTCCTAAGACTGTGGTAAACACTGTTAGTAGGGTCATAATGTTCCTGCCCTGATAGAGCCTGGATAAAGTGTACCTGTCATAATTTATTATTGCCATCAGACATGGACTGCTAGCTCTATCTTCCTCATGATCATGACCCTGTGATAGTCTATTATTTATAAGCAGTAAGTGGATGACCCTGAGTTGGGCCTGGAAGCTGAGTGAGCCTGATTACAGTCTCAGTTGCTATGGTAATCAAGTACAGTGAACAGCACAAATATCTGGCACATATTTAATGATATACATATTCATTATTATACCATATGGTAATTAGATGTAAGTGGTGAGTTGTTTGGGTAATTGATGTTAATCAGAGGCATTTTCACCAGCTAAAACAAACATGAGAGGAGAGGGAGTCAGGCTTCGCCAGAGACAGCCTCTCTGTAGTGGAGTGCTGGTGTAAGACTTCAACAGAGACGGTAGAGTGCTGGTGTTCTGAGACCCCACAGGATTCCATAAGAACTGGGTTGGATCACAGTGGTTTGTGGGCTCTAGAGTTTCCTCCGGGTGCTTGCTGGTTTTATGTCAATTTGACTCAAACTAGAGTCATCAGAGAGAAGAGGGCCTCAATTGAAAAACACTTAAGTAAGATGGGCTGTAAGCAAGCCTGATTGATGGAGGAGGGCCCAGCCCATTGGTCTGGTGATCCTAGGTTCTAAGAAAGCAGGCTGAGCAAGCCATGGTCAACAAGCCAATAAGCAGTACCCCTCCATGTCCTCTACATCAGCTCCTGACTCCAGGATCCTGCCCTGTTTGTGTTCCTGTCCCTGACTTCTTTTAATAATGATCAATGATACAGAAGTATAAGCCAAATAAACCCTTTCATCCCCAAGTTGTTTTGGTTATGGTGTTTCATCACAGCAGTAGTCACCCTAAGACACTCAACTTATTGGAGCAGCTGTGAGCCAGCTCAGTAACCAGTAATGGGGGAACTGGGATGTAGGCAGAGACTAGGGCCCTTGTAGGCAGCCCAGGAAGCCAGTGGCCTTGGGACAGGAGGTCTTACTGCCCTTTCTCAGCTGCCTACTGGAGACCAGGTGATTTGTTTCTGCAGGACTCTCAGATGAGGTTCTGTATAGTTAGCAGCTCAACACACACACAGGCATACACACAGACATACACACTCACATGCACATGTGTACACACATACACACACACACACATACACACACACACACACACACACACACACACACACTCTCTCTCACTCACTCCACCTTCACATGTTTTCCTGGCTTGTAGATGAAGAAGTGAACTGTACAATAATTTCAGTTGTAAAACTTCACAAATTTCTTCTTGCAATTTTTTTGTTCTTCTATTTTGTCTGCTGTATTACTTGTTATGGTTGTAGAAGCAATACCTACAATGCTTCTACAATGACAAGCATAAAAAGTGAACTCTCTTGGGATCAGGGGTTCAAGGTCAGTGATTGGGCCCTGCCTCTCCTGCTGGAAACCTGGGGCTAGATCTGAACTAAAAGCAAGAGTCAAGAAGTCTGCAACCTCACTGTCTAGAGACAGTTGCTGTTTGTATGTTTAGAAACTTTTATGTTTTGTCTGCATATCTGTGTATATGCCCCACGTGCATGCCTGGTGCCCTCAGAGTTTAGAAGAGGGTGTTGGGTCCCCTGGAACTGTAGCTTTCTGACGGTTGTGAGCCACCATGTGAGTCCTGGAACTAAACCTCAGTCCTCTGCAAGAGCAACCAGTGCTCTGAATGGCTGAGTCATCTCTCCGGTCCCACTGTTTGCACTTTTATATATATATTTTTTTCTATTTCTAATTTTTAGGATAAGGGAATCACTATAAATAATTTTACATTCTGCTATTTTTCATGTAATATCATCTGTGAATTTACCCATGCTATTAAATGTTATTTAGTAATTAGAAATATTTGGAATCTGTATATTCAAGAATATTTACTTGAAAAAAATGTAACATAGCCTCTCTTCTTTAGTGGTTAAAAAATGTAAGCATTTCTGTTAATTATTCTTAGAGGATGACTTAGCAAGAGAGATTCTGTGTTAAAAATATAGGTTAGCTCATATGTGGTGCTTGCCTGTAATGCCAGCTGTCTGAGACTGCTTGAGACAGGATAACGGAGAGTTTAAACCAATGTGTACAACATAGCAAGATTCCATCTCAAAATAAATAAATAATAACTAAAAATGGTGCCGTCGAAACTAAGAACTTTGTTAAAACATCTTCAAACATCTGAGCTCTTACACTAGGACATTTCTCATTAGAGCCAGTTGGTAGACATCTTGCCTAGCATGCACAGGCTCCTAAGTTCATAGCCTAGTATGGGAGGTGGTTTTGTGTGTTTGAAGGTTATCGTGGACTCACTGATGCTTTCAGAAGCTAATTTCCATAATTCATTTCAGGCTTAAGGACCATTTTGTTAGCGTTTGAAAGTAAAACAGGACATACGAGTTGTAAGTCTTGGCAGCTGCTGGGGGAAAGGAGCTAAGAAGAGGGACATGCCTTTCTGAATTAGGGGTCTAGAAACCTGCTGTCTTCAGCCATGGAGGTCTACAAGCAGCTGCATGGCAGAGGGGAGGGAGCTGCTGAGAAAGTGAGAAAGCCCAGAGTCACAGAAGGCAGGCTTGGGCTCTTGGCCAGTGTCTGAAAGAGATAGCTTCCTTTTTTCCTCTCTTGCTCTCCCCTTCCTCCCATCCCGTCCCTTCCTTTCTTGGTAGGATCCTGTTATATTGTCTATGGCTGCCTTGAATGTCTGGGCTCACATAATAGAAACGTAAGTTACTTTTAAGCATGTAGATAATAGTTCAAAGATCTTTTCAAAGCTAAAACCCCCACATTTCCTTGGAAATACAGTTAAGTCTCTTCATTGTGTCGTGATTGCCGCCCAAGCCCTTTTTTTTTTTAAATCTCCTCGGCCTCGACGTTGGTCAGCTCTGGATTTTAGATCCTGGTTTACCTCTGTCATTAGCTTTGCCTAAGTTATTTTATTGCCAGCCCAACTTTCCTCAGTATCTGTCTGGTTTAGAGGATTTCCCCTGCAACTAGTATATGATCAGAACCAGGTATGGTTACCAGTTTACTCCACAGTAATTTGGGGGTAAAATTGATAAGGCTTAGTGTAATTCCAATTGAGTCAAATTTCTAGTCACTTATTAATAAATTTGGACAATGCACCAGAAAATTTACATAGTTTCAGATAAAGGGAAAAGGTACAAAGATGCTTCTTTAGCCTGGGAGGAAAGGATTCAGAACCAATGACACCAGGGTCTTGAGCAGGTCCTGCTTTGATCCCCAAAGCCATGATATTAGCAGCTAGATGCATTTTGCGTGTTCTCACTGTAGGGCTGTAGATGGATCATGTCATTTCCCCATCAGGAAATTGGAAGTGTTGATGGTGTACAGATGGGGAGATTGAGGCCTAAAGTCACTCAACTTCTTAAAGCTCTCACAGGCTCTCTCTCCATAGTCCATACTTGAAAATGTTGACTCTACAGAAAATGACTGCACAATGAACTATATGTCCTTCGTGGGGATTTGCCTGTTTTTAACCATATGGACACATTTGCTTTTATTTTTCTGATACACATCTACAGTTTGTGTTTTAGCTGAACTGCTGGGAAATTAGTTGCAGATTTGTTGATTCTTTGTATTTTCCGAGAACAAGGACACCTTTTTGCAGGACGATAGTTTAATTATCAAACGAGGCAAATATAGAACGTCTAGTATACTCTGTTATCTAATCTAATATATACCATACTCAAATTTTACCAGTAGTCCTCTGGTATTGCCTTTCTTTGTGGAGCTGGGGATGGACCCTAGGGTCTCACTTATGCTAGACAAGGGTGCTACCACTGACCTATCCACAACTTCTTTTTCTTTTCCCTTTTGAGGCAGGGTTTCCTGTGCTCTGTAGCCCTGGCTGTCCCAGAACTCACTCTGTAGACCAGGCTGGCCTTGAATCACAGAGATCTGCCTGCCTCTGCCTCCCAAGTGCTGGGATCAAAGGTATGGGCCACCACTGCTCTGCATATCCACACCCTCTTAATTCTGTTTTCTAGCAGTTTTTCCTTTGGCCCAAGTCAAGCCCAGTGTTTGCCTGTCTGGTCTGTGTGTATTCTCTTTGGAACTCTTTGCCCTTGCTTTTGCAGTCTAGGTGTTCCACTATGTAAAAACAAGATGCCTTTGGTTACAGAGACATGCAGGCTAGCCTCTACCTCCACTCATGTTCCTCAGGTACCTCGAGAGGGGCCCACCTGCCGAAGTACCCCACTTACCATGTTGGTAACAGAGTGACTGTCAGAGCCGCTACACCTGTGCTATGTTGAACTTTTACCCAAAGGCACTCCAAGCATAAATGGCTTACTAGAAGGGTAGTTTTCTGTGTATTGAAGTGGGGATCTGTTGCTGGGTTGCAATTTGTAGTTCTTTCTTGAAGGTCCAATACATTTTGGTTTCTGTCTCCATTTAGTCTCAAAGAAGATGGAGCAGGAGCCCCGTATGACAAGGAATCCACGGCCATTATAAAGCTGAATAATACAACAGTTCTTTATTTAAAAGAGGTGACAAAGTTCTTGGCGCTCGTTTGCTTTGTCAGAGAGGAAAGCTTTGAAAGAAAAGGTAATTTTTGGTGTGATTTAAAAAGAACCGCCTCAGTTTGCGCTGCCTCTGTGCCTGTTGAATGGGTGTAGTCACAGCATGCCCTCCAAGCCTCTGAACTCTACTCACATGGCCCTGGATTAGCAGGCCTGAGGCAAACCCTGCATGAGTGGGTATCTGGACCTGCCTGACCCCTGGTGTGCAGCCATGATTGGGAGGAGGTGGAAGTAGAACCAGAATCCTCTACTGGGCCTTAGCTTTCACTTTGCCAGGCTGTTAAACTAGGAAAGGATTTCTTAGCCTGTGTAGAGGTGGGGAGCCTGTCTTGGGCCACAGCACTGGGTGTTAGATGAACCGTGTGGCCATTGTTCTCCTAATTATAGAAGCATTAGAGGTAGATGGCCTTTATCTTCTGCTTAGCATTCACATAATCTCTTCAAATAGCAGGGATGGTGTCATGATCCACACGGTGAAGGAATGACTGATACTATAAAAATGTAAGCGTCAAATTCAGTTGTTGGTGATGGGTGTGTGTGTTTTAAATAAAAACAATTAACTGATTTTTTCTTTACTTTTTAAATGATGCTAGTGTGGCTGGGCTGGGGATGTTGACTGGAGCTAGGATGTAGTTTACTACTGCTAACAGCGCTGCAGGTGACTCAGAGCTTGTCCATCTGCACAGAGAGAGACCTGGGCTACAGAAAGCAAAGCTAAGCAATGCAAAAGCAAACCAGCAAAGTGCAGTAGCGGCTTCTGCTGTCCTATGGCTTCATAATAAACTTGTTCTAAAATTAAGGAAAACAAAGAACAAAATGAAACTTTACATCTGAGTTAAGCCTCCTGTTAAATTTCTGAGATTTCTTTTTCTTGCCTTCTTTTCCTCTCTTTACTTCACCCCTTCATTCTCAGCAAAACTGGCTGCACTGTTACTATGGTTTCAAAGCTGTTTTTTCCACACATTTAGTTTCTCTATAACAAAGCCAATTTATATTCTCTCTCTCTCTCTCTGGTGTATGTGTATTGTATATAGTGTATACTTGTGGTATATGCCTGTGTTGTATGTTGTGTGTGGTGTATTCTAGTGTGATATATGGTATACATGTGTGTGGTGTATGTAGTGTATTCATGTTACATGTGGCATATATGTATGTTTTAGTATATGGTATTTGCATGTGTTAGGTGTGGTTTATGCATAGTATGTGATGTCTCTGTGTGCAAACATATGTGTGGATGCATAAGAGCAGAGAGAGGCCAGGTATATTTCTCTGTCACTCTCTGCCTTATTCTCTTGAGATAGAGTTCCTCGCTGAAACTGGAGGTCACCATTTTTGTTTAAATAAAATGGTGATGGGTGTGTGTGTTTTAAATAAAAACAACTGATTTTTTTCTTTGCTTTTTAAATGATGGTAGTGTGGCTGGGCTGGGGATGTTTACTGGAGCTACTGCCCAGTTGCCTAGAGAGCATCCTGTGGACACTTGATCCCAGCCCCCACTCCACCAACAGCATTGGTGGAATTCCCCAGCTCAAAAGGGTAGGCCTGCTTTGGTGGCTTCCAGTGAATATTAGCAAAATATCCTTCAAACTCTATGGTTAATATGCCCAGTTTGCTCTATTCCTATCAATATTGAATTTTACTGTTTTAGGAAGTTGATTTTCATGTAAAATTTACATATCCAGCCCTGAGGCTGTGTGTCTGCCAGTGACCAACCAAACTGACTTCTGTATAATTTGTCCTTAAAACTTTTAAGAGTATTCATCTTTTGTTCCTTATTTCCATCTGCTAGAAAGAATAACAGATTATCTATTAGATATGGGCTACCTTTGGGAAGATAGACAGCAGGACTGGGCCAGTACATGGTGGTAGAGGCTAGCCTCTTGTGTGTGATGCTGTAGGTTCAATCCCAGTACTGTGCATCCCCTGTCAACAAATGAAGATAGACAGAGCTGTACTTTGTTCTTCTCTCTCGATATACAGATGATTTTACTCAGACCCAAAAAAGTATAAGTGGCTTTATAGCAAGCTGACAGCACTAGCTCATGTCAGGGCTGAGAATGGCTAGTTAGGGAGCAGGAGAGAGGTCCTCCCCAAGGACGAGCACACCAATTGGTTGTCCAGTGCCAAATGATCAGCCCTGAAATATATGGTGACAATATATGGATTGAGCAGAGCAGGATATGTTTGGGAACATATATGTATATACATACATGCATGAAGTAACAATTAGTGAAAAAAGGGGCCATGAATTTGAAGAACAAGGAGGGAGAAAAGAGAAGGTGTAACTAAATTGTGTAGAGTTAGGTGTGTACACACACACACACACACACACACACACATTCTAAATCTCTTCCCACATTTATTGTTGGTTGGTATTTCCTGTGGATTTTGGAAGCTAAGGAAAACAAGGGCCACATAGATGTATAACTTCAGCTGGGAGCAGGTTCTAAAGTTTAGGAACATCTGAGCTAGGTGGAGAACTTGTTAATTTTGAACCAATTTTATAATTAACTGAAAAGTTGCAAAAATAGTAAATAATCTTCAAGTCCTCATCCACCCCCCCCCCACAACATTTGACCTGGGAACTGACAGTCTTGCTGTTTCTGGTTGGAATGAACTGTTCACACCCTCAAGAGTACCACACAGAAATGCCACCATGTCCTTCCCGCTCTGATACTGCATGTTTTCTGTCTGTTCCTGGGGAATCTCTATTAAAGTCGCATCAGGGTTTCCATCACAAAGTTTCTAAAGTTCAATGCTTCACGCTGTACAAGTCCAGTTGGTCTTTAACCTTCACCATTAAATTTAACATCTGACTGTGTAGAACAAAGTATGTAGGAATCAATCATATAATCCTTGGTAAATTATTACGAAACCACAATCTCTAATGATAGGCAGGTTTTGTAGAATATGATAAGCTAACTAGAAACCTAGTTGTTGAGTTTAATTTAATGCTGTAACTAAGGAATATAGGGAAATGGGCATATTTAAAGTTTCGTGGAGACAGGCTTTCTCTGACTGTGCTGACACTGTATAGACAAGGCTGGCCTTGACCTCGGAGTTCTGCCTGCCTCTACCTTCCAAATGCTGAGATTAAAGGCATGTACCACCAACACCCAGCCTCTCAGCTCGTATTTAATGTGTGTGTATGTATGTGTGTTTGGTGGTGTCTTTCTCTATTGTTTCCCACCTTATTTATTTAGTTGCTTTTGAGACAGGGTCTCACTATGTAGCCCTGGCTGGCCTAGAACTCATAAATGGGTTCTGAGGAATTTAGGTTGTTAGGCTTGTGAAGCCAGCCATTTTTGAAAATTAAAATGATATTTATTGTTATTATTGAGTGTGTGGAGTTGGTTCTCCCCTTCCACCTTCATTTGTGTTTGGAGGTGGGGTTTAGGTCATCAGGATTGCATAGCAAACACCTGCTGAGCCATCTTGATAGCCCTTGATTTATCTTTAATTTGAATGATTAAAAGAAGTTAGTGAAGTTCAGTGGTTTTCCAAGAGTTTTGGGGGGATGGACAGCTTTGGAAATGTGGCAAAAACTCTGGAAGCTTCTGGAATAGTCTTCAGGAAACACCTACCTCACAAGACCACCTGCCTCTTGAGGCCTAGGCCTGTTACATGATGGTTGTGCCTCTGCTGCCCCCTACTGGCCTTGGATGACACAAATGACAGGTTGTTTCTAGTGCCATTTAAAGTTTTCTTTTTAATTTTTTTTTTTTTTTTTTTTTTTTTTTTTTCTTTCTTCTTCTCCTGCAGGCCTTATTGACTATAATTTTCACTGCTTCCGGAAGGCCATCCATGAAGTTTTTGAGGTGAGAATGAAAATGGTGAAATCTCGAAAAGCCCAGAGTCGGTTGCAGAAGAAGAAAGGAACTACTCCTAATGGGACCCCTAGAATGCTGCTGTAGGGGAACAGTCAGGAACCTGAACCCACTCATGTGATGGGGGTGCTGAGCCCCACTGCACTACAGGAAGGAGGAGCCTGGGGCATGTGCATAGATTTGCTAAGGAAAAAGAATACTCTCTTTTTAAAATAAAATAAGCACTTTGAAGCAAAAACCTGTACAATAACAATAAAGTGGACCCCCACTGTACTTTAGTACATAAATGAAAACTTTTATGTTGACAGAAAAATCCCCTGTGAGAACTGCAGGAACTATACTGATTTTGCACTTTTTTCATGTTTTTGTTTTTTTGTTTTTTTTTTCTCACTGGGATGAACTTTGGTGACTTTTCTAAACTCTTTTCTGCACTTGGTGTCAAGAACATGCATACTAGAGTCCATATGGGGATCAGAAATCAATCCAAAGTAATACATTGGTAATGACTTTTTGTAAATTTGGGAATCTTTGCTACCAGTTGCTGAGGGGGGAATCATTTTTCAGTGAAGCAGGAGTAGGTCAGGGCTGGGAGCCCCAGGCAAAAGCAATAAGAGCCTCTCCTGTTTGTAACGAGTGTAAATAGGAATTTTTGTAGGAAGATTTTAGTGCCAGGCTTACATCCATGTTTGTATCCCTATGTCCATGCCCTCCTACTCACCCAGTCTTTGGGAAGCTCTTTACCTCAACACACGTCTTTGTAGTCACCATATTCAGATGGGTGATTTCTTTTTGCTGCATTATTCTAATAAACCTTTGGGACCAGATTTCTAAAACGACGCCAATCAGTATAAACAAATATGAATGGTGTTTGAGGAGACGGGAAAATAGCATGGGTTTGTTGGGGTGGGGAGCGGGGATTCTGGAGGTACATCTGTACCTGCCGAGGAGGCTAAAATAGCAGAGCTAAGAGGTTTCCCGGATGTAGGCAGATGGGCACTCAGTCTAAACACCTGTGTACTTGTGTGTGCGTGCCCTGTGAATGGCCTGCTGTTGTGCTGTTTAAAGTCTTTGTTCAGGACCAGTTTTTAATGCTCCATGACCACAGGTGTGCAGCAGATCTTTCGTCTTCACTATCGAGTTAAGTCCTCGGTGGCTCCATTCGTTACCTAAGTCACCCTTTCATCTGTGACAGTATGCCTCTTGTCCTCCACCTGTTCCTACTTAGTTCAGCTTGCCACCAACTTGCCCTTCAGGACAGCAGACACAGGAAAGCTGTGGCCAATGGGAAAACGAAAGCCTAAAGAGGTGTAAATTAGCCGTGGGTGCATTGTTTTAGATCATCGGGGAACTGAGAGTCGGAAATCTAGCCCTATACCAAATCATTCCAAAGGTTAGCACTGTCAGTAGAAAGCTGGTTTTTTTTTTTTTTTTTTTTTTTTTTTTTTTTTTTGAGGCAGGGTTCCTCTGTGGCTTTGGAGGCTGTCCTGGAACTAGTTCTTGTAGCCCAGGCTGGTCTCGAATTGACAGAGACCCCCCTGCCTCTGCCTCTGCTGGGATTAAAGGCGTGCGCCACCACTGCCCAGCAGAAAAGATTCTTTTGAAAGCAGAATCTCCTAGAGACACGGAGCTGCTCTTGCAAAAATATGTGACATGTCTAAAGCAGCTTGTCCCTGAAGCCCACTTCTTTTAAGTGTTGTCTCCCCATCTTCTTGCCTCCCCTTCCCCTAGTCTTATACTTGTTTTTTTGTTTGTTGTTTTTGGGGGTGTGTGTGTGTGTGTGTGTGTGTGTGTGTGTGTGTGTGTTTTGTTTGAGACAGAATGTGTAGTGATGCCTGACCTGGAATTCACCTTATAGATCAGGCTGCCCTTGAACTCACAGATCCACATGTCTGCTTCTCAAGCGCTGGGATCAAAGGCATGTGCTGCCTTGCTGGGACAGGTCCTCTGAAGCTGCTAACAGAAATGAAATGTTGATTGGTGGAGAGCTGAGCCTCCCAATAGTCTGTGCAGTATTAAGGGGGTTTCTAACAATCACTACACACCATGGCTTCTTCCTTATGATCCCTATGCAGAGACCAGAATGAGTTGTTAGGTGCCTGGAGTCCCAGAGAAGATTCTGTTTTCTTTAGTTTTCAAAGCTATTCCCTGATGGGCCTTTGCCAACAGGCTGGATGGAGGTGG